AAAGTTTTGTTGCTTCTGGAGTAACAGAGCTTCTGGAAAAACCTTAGCATTGGAGCGGTACAGGCCAAAACTTGAGTTTAAATGCTTTTGAAAGGGATTAGATGACTTGGCACTTGTGGTTATCAAGGGACCCAGTGGTCTGTAACATCCCTTCTAATTCTACATAGAATAAGTTGAATTTGTGTAGAGCAACCCCCCTTGACTGGAAATCAAAAAGAACTTGTTTGGATTCATCAACCTCATGAGCTTTTTGCTTTCAACTTGAGCACCAGTTTTTTCAAGACCCTGTGCTGTAAGACTACATACAGCCTCATGCTTGCTTTTTATGGCAATTAAAGAATAGAAATTACTGAAATAGAGGGAAACTTCATAAAATGGTCATGTTCCTTTTCCTCTTCTCTCTGATAGTTTGGCTTTAGGTAGGAGTATAGGTAATAGCTTTGCCACTGAGAATCTCTCAAAAGATTTTTTTTACTTTCCCTGACATTAATGCAGACATCTTGAAGGACTGAATGTTGAATGTCTGACAGCCTGGCCCAAATTACGTTCAAAATATATTTTAAAGTATTTTCAGGCATCTTACTGCTCTTTTTAGAACTGTGGAAGATCTGCCATGAGCTCTTCTATGAACGAGGTATAGCAGTTAGTGAACACACTAGGAAACAAAATTTACCCCAGACTCTTTCCTGTGTTGACAGATCATTCAAGGAAGAATTTCTACAGTTCTGCTTTAGCTTCAGTGCCTGGAGGTATAAAAGGAAGTGGGAAATAGGTCTAATCTTTGTTTCTTTTCCTCAGCAATTTTATTTCATGAAAGAACTCCTTGAGCCCTCAAATCCAAATCTTCCTCTGCCAATCTTACTTTCTGCTCTACAGTCTTTAAAAGCAAAGAATGCTATTACAGTTGAATTAGATTGAGAAGTTGCAGTGCTAGCTAAAATACTGTCACCACACCTCCTATTCAGAATGATGCATATTGGTGGTGTCTGTTCAGATAACCTCTAGCTACAGTTGAGTAATACCACAAGTGGGGAAAACCCTAGAGAAATAGGAAAATCCCTAACTGTTTGTACATTGTGTAAGTGTATTTTGCTTAGGCTCTTTGCCAAAACAGATATGAATCAGAGATGCTCTCTGTATTGCACTAAATTGTACCATCATGTTCAAGATTTCATTTTTGCATAAAAGACACCCACAGCATTTGTGAAAGGAGAAGAAAATTTCCATTCTGGTTTTACTGTGTTATGTTTTTTTTTTTTTTTTTTTTTTAATTGCATTCATCACTGAAAATTCCTGAAAACAAAAGATATAGAAAGTGGGAAAGGAACTTGGTTCATTTATTTGAGTTCTTCTTTGAGACAAATGGTCTCTCTTTTGACTATTTTGCAAAATGATTATAAAAGAGGAAAAAAAACACCCTACGGCATTGTGCAATAAAAATAATCACTTATTAAAAAAAAGAATTGAACTGTGACCGAATGCTTGCTTTAACTGGCAAGTGTTTGAGCAAATGCTTGATTATTTATGTAAACCTTCCCAACAGCTCCTCATCCAGAACAAACCTAAGCACCCAAGAACTACAAAATATCTCCTTACCAGAACAAAAATCACTACTGGATGTATTACTTTTTCCCCATGGAGTAGATGAGCAAATAGATACAAGATGTTACTAAAAAGCAATCGGAGATTAGGATTCATGTAAACAATAGTGAAAAAGAAGAATTAATTGGGATAGAAGATGTATTCCTGCATCATCCGGCAGCCCCAGGGAAGTTGGTGATTTGTTTTCTCATTTGTAACTTACTTTATTTGCATACAGTTTGCTTTTTTCAGATGTGAGAACAGGGGATCTTAAACATTGGTCTTTGAGTGTAGACTAGATGCTCTGAGTTTTTTCAGATTTTTTGGTTAGTTCAATGGAAATGTTTTTTTATTCAATGAATTTTTGTACTGAGACTATAAAGAGAAGACAGAAGGCAACTAGATTCTTCTGAGAATTTTTTACTTGCAGTTGGGATCTCTCTCAAACCACCTGACTAGAACATTTTCATACAGTTGGGCTGTAAAATGGGAAGTTAAAAGTACAAAGGTAATTTACTAAATTTTCAACCTCATTAGAGATTAATTCCTTCCAGTGAGCTGTAGTTCATCAATTTGCTGTTCCAACAGTTAGATTTTCTTAACAAAAAGCTAGCTCCCTAGCTTGCTCACTCATTGAATTTTTTGCAGTTTGTTTATTTGTCTGTTCCATTTCCTAAGGCTGTCAAGTACCTCGAGCAAAAGAGGCTGAATTCAAGTTGTCCTTCTGTGTACTGCTGCAGGGTCTGATTAGAAATTAATTCAAAATCAGGGCTTTGAAACTGCAGTTAAAATTCCAGTGGAGTTTTCTATGATTTGGCATGTTCCACTGCTATTAGATTAATGTTACATTGAGTAAGTGAGAAAGCTATAGTCTTCTTTCTATTGATGAATCTGCATTGTGAAAATCAGCAAACTACAGAGTCTTTCTTCAGAAATTGTAAGTGACAAATATATCAATGAACACATTGCAGCAGAAATAAGGTTACATCAGTTACATTTTTTACTCCTTCAGGGAATCTGAGGAATTTATGAAACCATTGAAATAGAAGTACACCACTTTTAGAACAGTTATACAAAGAAGTTTGATTTCCTTGGGGGTCCTGATGGATGAAAAGCTGGACATGAGCCCCCTGACTTGGTGTCATCTGTAAACTTACTGAGAGTGCACTCAATTCCTTCATCCAAGTCATCAATAAAGATATTAAACAGGATGGGCCCCAGCAGTGACTGCTGGGGAACACCACTAGTCACCAGCTGGTCACCAGCTGCATTTAACTCCACTCACCACTGCTCTCTGGGCCTGGCCCTCCAGACAGTTCTTCACCCAGCACAGTGTATACCTGTCCAAGCCATGGGATGCCAGCTTCTCCAGGAGAATACCATGGGAGACAGTGTCAAAGGCTTTACTCAAGTGGAGGTAGACTATTTTGAAGGCTTTCCCTCATCCACCAGGAGGGTCACTCAATCGTACAAGGAGATTAGGTTGGTTAAGCCTGGACCTGGACCTGGACCTGTCTTCTGTACTCTAGACCTCATTCCCTGGTTGTCCTGCACATGCTGTGTGATCTCACTCAAGATTATCTGTTCTATAACCTTCCCTGACACTGAGGTCAGGTGACATTACAACCCTTGTTGTAAATAGGAGCCACATTGGCAAGCCTCCAGTCCTTTGGGACCTCTCAGGTTTACCAGGAACTCTGATAGATGATGGAAAGAGGCTTGGCAGTCACCTCCACCAGCTCCCTCAGCAGCCTTGGGTGGATCCCGTGGTCCATCCTCATGGACTTGTGATGATCCACGTTGACCAGTAGGTCTCTGACTGTTTCCACCTGAATTGTGGGGAGGTTTATTCTGTTCCACATCCAAGATTTCCAGGTCAGTGACTAGAGTACCCTGAAGATAACTGGTCTGACTTTTAAAGGCAGATGTAAAGAAGGCCCTGAGAACCTCAGCCTTTTCCTTATTGCCAGTGGTCATGTATCCCGACGCATCCAGTAAAGGACGGAGATTCTCCTTAGCCCTCCTCTTACTGTTAATATATTTACAAAAAAGTTTTTTGTCCCTTTTTACTGCAAATGTGTAGTGGCCAAATGTAGCCATGAAGGACAGAAACAATTCTCAGCAACTATGGGGTAAGACCATACACATGTACAGCTACCACAGTGCTGTCATTTCACACTTTCAGAAATAAGATTTTACAGCTGTATTTATGAGGTGGACAGAAGGACCTGTGGGTGGCAGCCACATAGAAGACCAAGTAATAGTTCTTTTTATGACATGCTAGTACTCACCCAGGCTGTCAACTGTATTTGTATACAAATTGAGAACTTCCAAATGTCTATGGAGAGACTTTTGCTGGCTCTAAATCTCACAGATTGTTGGTTTACTGACAGGATCCTGAAATGCTTTAAAAGGACTAACAGCTGCCAGTCCATCTGAGAGGAGAGGAGACAAGGTGATGCCTGCTTCTTTTGCAATTGTGACAAAAGCATCTCTGTGAATAATGCACTGATTTTAAAAGAAAGTGTAGAGGAATATACTTTATACCATACACCAGAAATGAACACTAGTAGAAGTGTTATGTCAGAAGCTTGAATGCCAGAACAGCAGGAGAACATATTTTTTGGTGTAGTAGTAGCCTGTATTTAGAAAATGATACATAGTATTCAAAATAATATTTGTTATTTTTATATTCTACAGAATTTTGATGTGTGGTTGAGTGTTTATTTTACTTGGAAAAAGGGTGTAGTCTGGCTGAAAGGCAGCTGGAAACCTGCACAAATCTCAATGTCAGGTTCACTTTGTCTCTTACAAAAAAACTTACTCACTTGACATGGTAAGTATTGTGCCTGAGTAATTTCAATTTCAGGATTATGAGCCAGATAGTTCTCAGAATTAAAATGGCAAGTCCTGTTCCTCAACTTCATTTGCAGTTGATTGTAATATGTCCTGTTGGCCTGATGTGACCTTCCTAAAACTCATCTAATATTCAGAAGTGCTACAGATATCTTGCATTAAAAAATAACTTGGTTTCTTTGCCTGATTTATTTACACCTGAGTCAATAAATAAACTATTGATAATTTTTTATTTTTTATTTTTTTGATCGGGCAGTGTCTGATTGAGGTCTCTATTTGATGGAACTTTGGACTTGTTATGGTTACAACTCAGTAGAAAATACATGAAAATATGGATAACACTGATCTTGTGCCCTCAAACTTATCTGGATATCATATGAAGTAGTGATGTGCATTTTCATTGTATTTGAAAATGTGCTTTAATTTCAAAATCTATTTGTGTTAGAATGTGCTTACTTTTAAAAAAAGTATGTTTACACTTGTGTATAATGACTAAGTAATATTTATTTTTATCATCACCTCAGAAAACCTGTCATAATGTATATATTTTTTTCTGTTTGCAGGGGATTCATTGTAAAAGCAAACCTTCCAGTGAGTATACATCATTCACTTTTTACTACATTTATTTTTGAAAAATAAAGATAATTTGTTGCAGATAATAGATGCACTTTCCTGGTCACTTCAGATCACTGTGTCATAGAGTCAAAGAATAGTAGAATTATAGAATGGCTTGGGTTGGAAGGGACTTCAAAGATTATATAGTTCCAACTCCCCTGTCATGAGCAAAGTTGCCTACCACTGGATCAGTCTGCTTGGTATCCCCATCAAGCCTGGTCTTGAATGCTTCCAGGAATGGGGCACATACAACTTCTCTGGGTACCTTTGAGTAATGAATTTCTTCCTAACATCTAACCTAAACCTCCCCTCTTTTGTTTTGAATCCAAGTTTCCCTGTATACAACATAGGAAATTGGTGGCTGTACTAAATAATAGGTTAATAATTGTGCATTATTGGTTTTCTTAGCCATAGATAGTCATTGGGAGAATTTGCTTTGACATTTCGCTCATGTTTACATTGCTTTTATTTATTATTTTTGGCTACAGTAGCAATATAGGCTCTTTAATTTTCTAAACTCTGAAGCCTCCATCAATCACTCCTCCAGTGTGCATACTTGCTTGACAAGGAAGTACAACACAACTGCCTTGCAGGCTGTCCCCTTTCAGGGGATGGTTGTACCTGAAAGCTCAGCTCTGAATGCTGCTTATCTTCAGCAAGCCTTTCCTGGTTCTCATGGCAGAATACCCATGGGCAGAGAGAAGTTCTGTTAGTGAACCATAAGCATGTGAGGTCCTGGTGCTATGAGGTGGGGCATTGAGCTGGATGACAGTTGTCCTGAGTCCTATTCTGAAAGGATGATGTCTACCAGACACATACTGTTGAAGTGATGGCTTTGGAAGGGATGCAATTAAAAGGCCCTCTTGAAAAAGTCATTAGCCTTCTACTACTAAAGAGGCTGAACCATCAGAGACTGGATCAGGGCTGTGAATGAGCCTTATTTGGATTAGACAGCTGACCTGCTAGTTGCACAAACTGCACGGAAGGAGTCACAGAATAAGAGAGAAATTGGGATATTGAACTTTGCCGAGCTGAAGCATGCCTTCATTTCTTTGGGTAGCACAGGAGTAAACCAAACCCTATAACTATGGCCTCTAAAGGGAGGACCTTTGCAATACTGTTGATTATGAGCTAAAATAATTGCTAGGTATTACACAAATGCAAATCTAGATAGTGGAGACACTACTGGTAACAGAAGGTGGTGATTCATTCTTAGGACAAAGTGAGTTATATGCTGGGAGGAAAGCAAGAGGAATTCTTCCTCTCCTTTGCCTGCCAAAGGTATCACCTTATGATGTGTATGAGCTTAAACTAGTTATTTAACTCTGAGCTGGATATATTCTTTGGGCCTGAAGAGCTTGTAAGCTGAAGATCCTTATCTTGCAATACAGTGTACATCAAGCAGAGCTGGTTGTAGGTTTTCAGTGCTGCCTGAAAATGGCTTATCAGGTATCTTTAATACAAGCAACGTGTAGGATGACTCAGCCTTACCGGGGTGATAAAAAAACATTTTTTTCAGTCTTCATCCTAGTTGTCTTGTGCAACACTGGGTGTATACTTATTTCCATACTTCCTTTTCCGTAGTCATACTTTGTATTAATTATTTTTTGAGGTAAAATTACCTCAAAAGACCTTCAATGTGTAATACTGTGCAGTAGTCATTGCTTTTAGCAGCACCAAAAAGATGACTTTATTCTGCAGAATTTATGGATATCACCTCTGTAGTGTTTGGCAGTAGAGCTTCTGCCTTCTCCCTCCCCTTCCTATGAACTATTAGAAGTACATTAAGGCTACTGCAGTATTTAAAATTAACTGTACTTTTTCAAGATCCTTTAATTTTAAAATCACTCAGAAAATATATTTGACATAGTGTAAGACCATGCCATTCATTATTCTTGCAAGTCTGAAATACTTCCTGAACATACAACTGTGGAACTCTTCTTAATTTACTCTGCATTGAAATCTATTGTAAAAGAGAAAACTGAATTGTAATGAATTTCATAACTAGTTCAAGTACTTTTAAGTTGCAGATTTTGATATTTGTTAACATAAATGCGTCACGTTGTTATCTTAGGTGAGTGTACCTAGTTTGTTTATGAAGGCTGTTGAATCATCATCATGCACAGATGCAGCAGATACTGTGGTAAATCATATGCAAATTGGTTTGAAATGTTACTGCAATTTTTACTCGTGGAATGATGCCCCAGTGAAGCAATTTCAGCGCACAGTAGATAAGCTATCAGATTTATCCGTGTCAATATCCTAAGTAGTTGAGATTCTTACCATTCTTGTAGGGAAGAAATACCAACAAAAAAGAAAAAGAAAACAGGAATTTCTTTTGGGAGCTGCCCAGGGCCTATTCTTAATGAGTTTTCTCTGCATTTTTTTTCCCTGTTCTTCAATTTCATCTTCTTGCCTGGGGCTTCAAATTATCCATCCAATCATTTCTATTGCGCATTCATTGCTCAGCTCTGACTTCTATTATCCAAGGATACATAAGGTGTGTTTTGCTGTCATGACTGTTCTAGGTTGATTGCTGCATCAACAGATAAAAACATAATCTGCTGTGGTTTAGCTGATGGCAAAAGTACAAGGAAAGTGTCTACATGCCGAATAATAAGTCTTGGCTTCTTTATGCCTCCGTTTGTATCTGTCCATAATTTAGGATTTTTTTATTACAACAACAGTCCTTCTCTCATGTAGGGCTAATTACAGTTATAATTCACAAACATAAAGTTTAGGCAAAATTTACTCAGAATATGGTTTGTGTAGCCAGGTGTACCTTAATGTCTTCTGGGGTGTAGATCAAACTACTCATGAGGAAGAGGTGTGTGTCCCAGAGGAAGCTATTTAAGGGGGGAGGAGGATTAAAATATGATAAGGAAAGAGTTTACTGAAGAATTAGTCAGAAGTGAGTCTCCTTTTGTGATTACTGAAATGTGTGTGATGATTTGTGGCAAAGAAATTCTTCTCTGTAAGCTCTTTCTTGTATTATGCATTTATTGAGATTCAAGTTAGTGTCTTCATGCACTATATGATCCATTTAAATGATTTTTGACGAGTTTCATGGCATCTTTTGCAATTCCCAAAATTAATGGGAAAAGATTCAAAAAAAGAAGAAAAAATCCGAAGTGAAAGAGTATTTTCATTTTATCCAGTGTATTACTTTCTTGTTTTCAGTTTGAGTGCAAAAATCATGTCCAAGAAAAGCAGTGTTCCAGCTTACTGATGCAGTAGTTCTAAAACTGTTTGTACTGATCCACTGTTGGTAACGCACCTAAGTATGACCTGGGATTCTCCTTAGAGAGGCAAAGGCTCTGGCATCTGATAATACTATACCTCAAGCAGTAATAATTAAGGATAAAATTCAATTGTCTCAAAACAATCTCCCCTAAAAATATATAGGATCAAATAATATGGTCAAATTCACTCGGATTCACTTTGTCAAGAAGTATCACATTCCTCTTCCCTTGAATCATTTCTACAGTCATAAAAGTAGGCAAGGTAAAGCCTTGATCAAGGAATTTACACTGACAACTGAGGAACTAAATAAAATAATTTATTGGCTTATTTCAAATACTGCTTATTTTCTTATGAAAATAACATAGACTGGTTATTTAGGGTTGGTGCACATAACTGCATGTCATTCAGTATATTCAATGTGGGTAAATCTAGCAGCCCTGATCTGAAATGGGTAGACCTGGTGGCTGAAGAAGTCCAAGAAAATATGTTTTGAGCAAACATCTGGAAAAAACTAGTCATTACATTTTAATAATAACTATTATCAAGTAGTTCTGCAATTTAATTAACTGGGTGATTGATTGGGTGTTGTAGAATAACTCTTCATCCTGAGACACCTTCAGGATTATTACACAACCCATTCTTGGAAGATGGAATAGAATGTTCACATCTGGCTGCTATGCAGAGTACTTCTTAAATCTGCTTAATCTCTGTGGAAACACATTTAAAAATGCTCCAGAAGTCCATGTACTCTTCTTATGGCCTCATTTGTGTATTTTGAATCATTGGTGCTTGTTCTTTGTTTTGCTTCTCTCACTGCTGGACAATTACCTTGGATAATTGAGAGTTGGCTTAACTGTCAGTTGAGGTAAAGTGTCATTGTTCTCTTACTTTTTCACTTACTTGAGGTTAGAGTAACCTGTTACCTCCTCAGTGTGCTCAATGGCAAGAAAACCACAGGCTAATGGAGCGGAGATTCAGGTGTTTAGTATTTTCTGACTTGTGATAATTCCTGACACCAAGTGTGAGGGAACTTTAAGGCCTGACAGAGTCAAGCCAAAGTGTGACGTTTATATCAGTCTGTTTTCATGTTCTGCATATATCAGAATTTGGTCCCTGACAATAGGCTCCTTCTTGAAATGGGAAGTGGAAGTGCTAGAAGTGCTCTTGTACAGGTTATTATTCTTTTAGTCTCGCACTTAAAGAACTTTTCTTCACAACTGAAGGACTAAATAAGTATATGCTTTGTCCTTCCATCCTACGTTTCCTCCAAGAGAACAATGGATGCATCTTCCATGTGAGTTAGTGAGAATCCATGCCTTGACAATAATTATTGGCTAGGCACTGAAGATTGCACACTTTTCTAATAATTTGAGGTAGAATTGTTAGAATGTGAGAAAATTGTCTCAAGCTGTGGGAGAGGAGGGACCATGACAGGTCAGGTTCACAATTGGCCTTCATGATCTCAAAGGTCAACATAGACAGCTCTATGATTCTATGCTATTCTGTATTTTTATGGCAAGCACAGCATCATGCCATTGCACTTACATACTATGCTTTTCTCCATAATAGTTGGACGCCTTCTAGGAGTATGTTTAGCAGGATGACTAACAAGAGTCAAAAAAGTTTGAAAATGAGAATGAGCTGTGAAATACTTTGTTTTACTTGAGTGTTTTTAACTTTCACGCTGAAGTTAGGAGGATAATAAATATTTCAAAGAAACTGCTGGCATGTAGTTGCAGATAAAACGAGGTGCGCTGCATTGTAAACCACAAAGCCAAGGAACAAAACCGAATTCCTTAGCTATTCATTTTGACAATCTCTTGAACTCTGGATTTTGAGACTACAAACAGCGCATTTGAGATGGAGAAGCCTCAGGAATGCACTGGGGATTACATCCACAGTACTAACATAAACTCATAAATGAATGACCAATTTCTTTGTTGATCAGCCTGGGAAGTAGAAAGAGATGAAATATGGTGATATATGGCTAACTGGTGAGACATGGGACCTTAAGTCTGGTTCTTCTTTTACATTAGAAGGCTGATGTGCAAACACATGTCCAAAGGATTTGAGGCAGGACTAAACTGGCATAAGAAAATGAGTCGAGGCATACTAGTTCTATTTAGAGGCTTCTGTTTTGTTTTGCTTTGTTTTTCACCTCTTACTGGAAAGAAATCTTGTAGGTGTGGGGTTTTTTTTTTTTCATCACTAGGAATGCAATGGTGCCCTCTTGTGTGAAAATCGTATTTAACATCAGCTGAGACTATCCACCAATGACTCTAAAAGGGACTACTACCTATGAGGGTACTCACAACATGCAGGCAAAGTTTTTTGAGGAAAAAAAAAAAAAAGCTTATATTATTAGTCTAGCCATGATTTGTAGACTACGAACTAGAAAGGTCTACTTACTTAGAAGTGCTATTAGTCTAGCTGCACTCTGCTAACCTTAACTGTTAGAAATATGATGTCCTTTTTTGAGTTCATACTTTCCTAAGCCGGGAAATTTATTATCAAACCTCATCTGTAATGTAGTTCTTTCCCACTGCATTTCTAGCGAAGTCAATCAGCCAAGAGCTTGCTGTGGTCACGTGAATATCTTAGGTAAAGTATTGGTTTTACTGAAGACAGTGGTGACTTCCCTACCGATTTCTGAAGAGCTGGATTTTCATCTTTGGTGCTTCCTTCCCCAGAAATATCCTGTGCACACCGTGACTTCTCTTTCTGTTTTATATTTGCAGGTGGCATTTTTAACAGTTTCTGCCACAGTGCTCCTGCATCTTTGTCTTCTATGGTACTGAAGAGCATGAAGATCTCAACAGTTATTAAATGTGTCCAAGGAAGCCCATGCACTCTTCATTTAAACATTAAAGGAACTCTGAGTCTGGATGGTAGGAAGCAGATTTGCTACTGAATCATTTCTGTTCACTTCTTGCTATTTTTCTGCCTATTTTTGTTCTGTAGTGTAATGCTTGTGTCCATGCTGTTTTCATGTGGTTGTATCAGATTTTTTAATTGAACTTTTTAACTACAAACCAGGATAAAGCCCTGGAATTTCTCAAAGGAATAAGAACTTAATTTTTTATATCCAACATATTACAGTTTCCTCTGCCAGTGCCCCTGTAGTACTGCTGCTCTTTCTTTCTTGCTCTCTCACATGTGAGTATTTACACGCACACAAAAGGACACAGATACCATTTGCCCTGTCAACATGGGCATGAGTGACTGCACCAACAGAAGAAACTGTATTTTGTTCTGAAGTTCCAATTCTAAGCCAAAATAAAATGAAAGCACTCAATTTTTTGGGGCATAGTTTATTTTTACCAACATCCTGCCACTCATGTACTTAGTGTGTTATTGTTTAGATATTTCCTGGTGTGCTTCACTCATTGTGTGATTTGTACTTAATCATTTGCATGACAGTTTGCATAATTAAAGCCTTAATTCATAGCAGTCTGTATTAAATCCATGGAGGCTTCCTACTCCCTGTGCGTGTTATTACATGCTGTCCCCCTTTTTTTACAGGATAAAATACTTGTACTTTTCACTTGGAAAGATTAGAATATGGTCTATCTTATTTTTCTGTTAAAGTTGTTCAAATCATATTTTTGAAATGTATTCCTAACTTATTTCAGAAAATATTCGTGGGCTGGAAATATGTTCTTTTTCACTGGACACACAGCAATCTCAGTGCACAAATGTGAGATTTGCCAGGAAGAAAAGCAAGACACTTAATGGAAAGAAGGTAGACTCATTTTTATGGGGTTGTTTTTCATTTAAATGTTTATAAACCTTTGGAAAAACATAGTTTTTGTATTTCTCTTTACTGTCTTAATGATTCTGTGGAAAACAGCAATGAAATATATGGTTCAGTAGTGTCAAATGAAGCTTCGTAACAAAAGTGTTCTGTATGTGGTTCTCCACCATTTTTAGACTTCTTCCACTTAACTTTTATCAAGAGAAGATGCCTCTATAAATTCTACTTTTCAAATTGATCTTGTTTTCTTTCTTATTGTACCCACCAAATTGTGGGGAAGCTTTTGTTACTCCAATTGCTAGGAAGCACAATGTCACAGGGACCATTAAGTGCATTTTCTCACGTCCCACTCATATTTATTTAGATCCAGCCATGTCAATAGAATTTACACTTCTAGAAGAAAGCCAAATGCCTAAACACTTGTACACATCTGTTCTAAACTCATAATAATATTTGCAGTGGCAGAGTATGATTCTGTACTAAACTATACCCAGAAGTATTTGTTATTAAAATCTGCAGCAGGAAAAAAAAAAAAATCCTTGACCTACTGTTTAAAAGAGGAATTTTTGCTTTCAGCTAGTGGTGAATAACTGTTATTAATCCCATACAAAACATGTTACTTCATGTGCTCTGTTATATTGATTGCATGTGTGAAAGCAATTTCTACTCCCAAACTGCAATTGCAGTCTACACTCAGTATCATCAGTTGATGATCAAAAGCCCCTGCAGGCAGTGCAGGGCTGGCAATCAACAATTATTGGCTTTCAGACAAGGGTGAATTTTATAGCTGTGACTCAACAAATGCACTTAGAAATGTAGATGTATTTAGATTTTCATACTTTCAGTTCTGTGAGTAATCTTTTACCCTTCAAAGGCATTTGTGTCAAATAGGAGTTATATACATTTGGAAGTCTATATGGAATACAGTAGTTATTGCTACAGTTACTCCCTACAGTGAGAGAATGACCTGCTGTAATTGGATCTCAACTTTTGCCTCCTAAAATACTTTCCCAGAACCTTACTGCAATGAATAAATTTGACAAAGTTGATGCTAAATGTTTTAACAGACATATTTTCCTATTCTGCAATTGTTTGTGCTTGTAAAATGCTTACAACTCAAGACTTCTGGTAGTACAAAATACATTTTATCCTTTTTTTTCAGTTCAGTGAGTTCTGTGCTTTTACTATTCTTTGATAGTTCACAGATCTTTGGTTTTCTGGAAGTAAAGATGATGGCCAGCTCCTAGATTAGAAGAAATGACATTTTTTGAAATCCTTTAGCTAAATGGCATCTGATTCCTCTACATTCTTAATGCTACAGTATCTCAAAATGCTTAATGCTCCTGGCAAATGTAAATCAATTTAAACAAAAATATTGCTTGCTTAACTCTCATAACTAGTGGTTTTCATGCATTCTGGAAGTCACACACAAACTTTATTTTATAAACCTTTTAAACAGGTGCAGGTTCAATTCAATTGCTTTGAAGTCAACGTAGCACAACACATCTATGTGACCATGAAAACAGTACCAAATTACTGTGAAGTTAAGATGAGTCAGGAATACTATGTTGAAGGTAGGAAAACATCTTCAAACTAATGTTTTTCAAAAGACATCTTTTCAAAGAGAAAAACAAGGCCAAACAAAACAGAGCAAAAAATTCCAAACAAAACCAAAATCTGAATGCAAAGGCAAGTTACATTCTGGGGTACACTGATCTAAATGGTGCTATTTTATGTCTGACATAATCAGTATTATTCTACATTTTGGCGATTTATTTGGTGCGTGCAAATGTCTGACTTGCCAAAAACAAAACAAAACAAGATTGAACAACAACAGATACCAGAGTTTGTATTTCAAAATATTTGGAAAACTACATTATGTGTTTCTCCCAGATTGCATTCCTGTGATTGGAATGTGATCGATCTCTGCCAGCAGGCTCAGTCCTGCATGATCTCTGTGCATGAGATGGAAATGTTGCTGTCTTCTGTTAGGCTCCATGTGGTTTCAGACCTTTTGGCAAGTTTAATAGGAAAGTGTAAAGAAATAGCTTCTTTTCACTAGCTATCTGTTCTGTCACCTGTTTTTATATAAGTGAGTGAGATAAGATACCACTGGTCCTTGTTTTGGGCATAAGTTGCCTACTACATGCATATCGAAGTAGATTCAGTACAGGTGGTCCAGTGGTTCAGTGTGGCAAATGGTGGTGCAAAAAATGAACTGGGACCCCTTACTCAGCCCATTGCCTGTGCTTGCCCTGCCATCCCATCGCCACAGTCTGTGGGCTGCTGCCCTCGCCCATGGCCATTGGTGCAGTACCATCCCTTGCATACTGTATCAGACATGTTGTGTCTGCTCAAGTAAAGCTTTGGTCTATTTAAAAAGCATTTCATTTTCTTGCTAAAGCCTCTACTCCAATTCACTACCAAAGGAGACAAGGGGGAAAAAATAAGGCTTTAAAAAGCCTAGTTTTAAACAAAGTGAAATGAAAACAAAGAAAAATGTTTTCCTATGGAAAATCACAATGTGAGGGCAATTAAAGCAAAATACTGCTCTAATGTACATTTAAGCAAAATATTTTAAAATCAAGATTTAGATTGTGAAGATACAAGTATTAGATATTAGTTCTGAAGGTGTTGGTTGGCCTCTAGTTCTGGCAGGCTTCCTGGGAACTAAATGAAGGTAATTCTTTGCAAGTCTAGAGGAAAACCAGAATTGAAAAAATACAGTTGTTTTTAGCAGAGGAATGCATCTAGTAAACAACTGGAGTGAGTTTCAAGGAAAGGATAACTTGAATTGTTATTACTTATATTATTATTAACTACTGGATAAAGAAGTGCACTGTTGTATCCTAGTTTACCACCTTAAATTGCTGAAGAGGTTTAACAGTAGAAACCCCACACTGGTGAGATAGCTCCCTAATGCAAGTTAAGACACAGTCAGTGTGTGTGTGGTACCTTCCTTCACTTCCTTCACTATCTAGAAGAGGATCAAAATCTACCTTTAAAAGGGATGAATGAGATTGTTTTACTGTTGGGAAACTACTGGATAATTTGGAAGTCTGATAGGCTACACGCCTATATAAATAACACAATACTGAAGAAAATTCTGGTCTATATTTTGCAGATTGCAGAAACAGTGATGTGGGAAAGCACATTCCAGCTTGTTTGGGTGAGCTAATTTTCTGTATAACTTGAAGTTGTGGGGTATTTCTTGTGACTTCTACAGTGATATGTTTTCATAGCTGAATAAGCAGAAAAAATATTTACAACTGCTACTTAAAATTATACTTTGGGTATGTTGCAAAAATTCAGTGTTTCTCTATATTGACTTGTAAATGCTAGATAGCAGATAAAGATGTTGACAACCTATTCAATACTTAAACATTTGGAAGCAGGTTTGTGTCTTTTTCACGAACTACAGATTACAAGTTTCATATTTTGTCTATAAACAGATCTCACAAGTAGATTAAAGCGAATTGGCCGAATTGCTGTCCTGATCTTGAGATACCTGTGAATAAGAATAATAAAGAAAAAGTCCCCACATATTGCATTTGTCCAACATAGTTGCACATATTCTCAAAGAAATGAGATTTCAACCTTAGGATAATCAGCTTTTGAAGTAGCATTAGTGTGTATATTTCAGGTATTTGTACATGAACTATGTAAGATTTCAAGTAATGAGGTTGAGGTTCAATCTGTAGGTGTCTTGGCCTCTCATTATTGACAATGTTAATTAAAAATTAGTAATGTTGAAATTCATTCTTTTGAAAAATATTATATGTCATAAAGTAAGATTACATATAGGAATATCAGGATATAAAAGAATGATTTCAAATATTCTAGGTAAGAAATGTTAATTTATCTCTACACAGTTTTTAAATACATTCTGTATTTTTATAAAGGGGCAATGAAGTCAGAAATATACAAACTAATAAAGAACTAGAGACAATAATTTAATGTTTGAGTTTTGTTTTTCAGCTGGAAAGTTAGACTATAATGTAGACAGAACAAGAAAAATCATATCAGTGAATGTATCCAACTTTCTTCGAGATCAAGATTATTACATTCGTTTGTGTCACAAATGGTTTACCTGTGAAGATGTGGGACAATTTGCTGTGGTGAGTTAAGGCTTAAAGCATTGCTTTCTTGAGGTGCCTGGGGGAGAAATGCTAATTGAGATCATACTTACATGAAATGGTCTTCTGTGTCTTTGTTAACTTTATTAAATTGGCCTGGATCAGTGATCATCTTTTTCATTTCAGATAAGAGGGAAGGATTCTTTAAAATCAGTTTCTCTGAAGTACTCTCAGCTACTTCCTTGTCTTTGCATTGAGGTAACAGTTTGGATTTTATATATGCTTCTGATTAAATAAATTTTATATGAGTATGTGCTAAAAAAGGTGGGAAGATCTGTAGGAAAAGGCTCTACTGCTATGTTTTTGACTAAAGCATGTTTGACCTCATGAAATAGTTGAAGAGATTTTTCAGAAAACACTAATTAAAGATGGAGATAAAAGGAAATTAATTTATACAAGGTTAATTTAACTGAGTTTTTATAAGTAATGAAAATACAGCATGTTTAATTTGAATTTCAGCATAGCACTTGAGGTAGTTTCACATTCAAAGCTAAGAGATGATTTGAGGAAGCTGGGGTAGATAATACTTCCTTAGAGAACTAATTCAGCTGCTTCTATTGAATGGTGCAGAGATAATAGGAAGGTAATTTAAGGATCACTGTCAGGTCTTATATAAATGTTTTCATCAGCCACAAGGGCACAAAAGGAAGGAACGTGTTAATGAGATTTGCTAGTAATGCAGTTGAATGGTATAATCAAAATAGAAGAGAATCTGAATAATCGGAAGAGAATAGAGTTCTTCATATAGGAAATAACTAAATGGGGATAAAAGTGCACTGGTGTGAAGTACAAGTTCATGCATTTGCTCTAATAAAAGCACTTCTTATTGTAAAATATGAGTCCCTGTTTGGAAAAAACACTGAAGAAAAAATATCAGAGTGTAATATTTCATCATAGAATGATTGATTAAAGGAACGTGCTTACGTGATGTAAATGTGAAAAAAGATTTAGGTGGCAAGATTATCACAAGTGAGCAGGAAAGTACAGGTAAGACTTTCTATGAAATAATGTAGGCAATTATTGCATCCTTATTTAATAAACATTAATAAAATGAAAGATGTACATAAGAAATCTAGAATGGCTGGGGAGTAGAAAGGCTGTCTTAAAAAGGAGATTTAAAGAAGATGTTTTCTTTAGCCTGTTAAAATATATGTAAAGAGAAACTATGTTTTTTTATTAAATACTAATCAGAATGGTTTTTTATACAAACACATTTTTTAAGCTAAAGCCATTTTTGACACAGACATGAAGGATGATATGCTCCATTCCTGTAATCACAGTATCTACACTCTTCACTGATAATTTGATAAGCAAGAAGTAAAAAGTCACCAAACTAATTTAAAATAAGCTTGATAAAATACAAAAATACTAATTTTTCACTGAATACTGGAGTAGTATTTTACTTGTGGATTAACATAATAAATGTAGATATCCATATGTAAATGCTTACCTTTTAATTAAATGTCCAAACTCTTTAGTCATTGATTATCTAGTTAATGCAGTTAGTGAAGCCTGTAAAGTTACTCAGTGGACCAAATGTAATTGCTTATTTTTGAATGAACTGATTAGTCACTGGAAAATATTCCACTTAGTATATATACAGAGAAACAATATGATTGCTGAGCAAACAAATGAGAGCTGTGAGCAATAAAAATATTTGCACATTAGTCTAAACAGTTAGGTTATACTAAACGTCATGCATAGATTCCTGCAAGATTGAGTTTAATGTTAGTCCTCAGACTTCAAGGCTGCATCCTTAGCCATAACAAAGTTCAGAGATCTGGCATTATGATTCTTAAATGTCTTTTGTTATCCCTAGAATATAATGACACTGTAAGAAACAATGAATATCAAGTTAGAAGTCTTTTTAAATGAAATATGGTTCAAATATACAACTCAGAAATAGTAGGCATGTAGGGCTGGAAGGGGTCTCATCATCAGGTCATCAGCAGCATGTCATCAGCTTCCAGCTAGGCTGGTTCATCACCTCCAGTCCCAATAGTGTTGAATAGATATCCAGTGCAAAAAAGCCTTTTAAAAAAGTACTTCCCCAAATACCATAACGGACATAATATATGTGCCTTTAGTGGGAAGGCTGGTCTTTCACATCCTTTCTGAAGTGTTAAAAACTGTTGTATCTGAAGATCTCTAGTTAATCGCTAATTTTTGGGTTTTAGGGTTGGCTGGCAATACCAGATGCCAGGAGGTTACAACTTTGTCCCTTTGAAAATGGCAAGTATTTTTTGATTACTCTTTACCTGAGTGTTTTTTGTCACAATTTGAAATTCATCTGAGATGAAAACCGTGCGTTGCAAAACGGCAAGGAAATCATTATACTAACTTGTTATATTGTGGTAGATGAAATAACTTATTTTCAGGTCTTAATATTAAAGTGTCTTTCCCTGATTACATTTTTTGGACATATTGAATAATATTTCCACTTTTTTGGTGCACAGATACAATGGCATTATGGGATAATATTGTTTATAATCCAGTGACTCAAACCCTTGCTTGGGAACCAGCCTGCCCTGTGCTTGTCATTGTTAACCTGTGCAGATTAATGAAGTCTAATGACCACTGTGAAGATATACAAGATTCTTCCAAACGTTTTCCTGAGAAGGTAAGAACTATTGGGCTCTTCATTCAACTACTGAGATTGGCCATGACCAGAGCAATACAAAAAGTGAAGCTAGACTTTGGAATAAGAACAGTTGCAAATTCCTCTTTTCTTCTGTGATACTTTGAACTATTCATAACCACAGTCTGTTCTTGTGCACTAACCACATAATTTATTCAGAAAGTTCAATATTGGTTGACTCACTATTAAGAAATAAAAAGACGGACATGACTGTGAAGCTAGTAATGTTTACTGAATTCTTTGGGGTCAATAGATTCTGCTTTTCATTTATAGTAAAGGAATGATTCATCTGCTCAGACTTAGCTGTCTAAAAATTATGTGTTCAAGTTAAAACTGTTCATCTCAGATGCCCTTTAAAGTAAGGAAATAAAGCAGACACATTCAGAGGACAATTCTTTTCATCTGACAGTAGATATTTAAGAAAGTTTGGAGGGCTGTATCTCTGATGTTTCGCATTATGACAAGTCGATTATGACTGGATATCATAACATCATAACCTGGATTTTTAACTTTAGATATCTAAAATGGAATTCAGATAAATCTAAATCTCTTCAGATCTTATTGGAGATGTAAAAATACCTTGATGGTAGTTTTATACTCCATTATGTTCTCTTTGAAGTGCCTTCCTCAAGCTGGATTCAAGTTGCCTTGAAGTTGTGGGTGTTGAAATACTGTGTTTCTCAGTTCTTTCAGCATTCATATTCCTAATCTGAAAAGGATTTTTAATACATGTATTTTGAACTGCTACATACTTCAGCCTGAAGTATCACGGGACTGAATGCATTGGATGTATGAAATTGCATAGAGTTTGAGCTTGCATTTTGAAAAGTAAATTTCAGACTTTATTGTGGAGAGAAGACAGTAAAATCCCTGTAACATCTCAAAAGGTAGATAAAATCAGAAACAGATTCTTTGTTTTTGAAACATTATGAGACTTATTCTGATTACATGATGGCAAGGGGGAAGAGGATTAGAATGTTTCTTTTTGTTTAGGAACTCTGGGCCGAGTGTTCAGTGATTGTTCAGATTCACCATGTTATGTGCCTCAACAAAGATTTGATCTTGGAAAAACACATAAGCTTAATTTTACACACGTGAATGGGCCTGGTGGGATTCATCATCTGCTGACAACAAGAACAACTCATTTCTTGCAGGAAAGAAAAAAAACAAAGGGGAAAAAAAAGGAATCCTAAAATGAGATTTGTCTAGTAATGGTCATGTCTATTACCAAAAATATTGTCCAGAGTTGTTTTATTACAGACAATGAGTGTTTTCTTGTTGATTTCTTACTCATTGCTTTCAATGGCTGAATTCATGGACAGGATGTTTTTTTTTTTTTCTTCTTTTTCAAATTTAATTGTGAAAGGTGTTGAATTTTGACCATTTCTTGAAGAACATCTTTATAGTGTACTGCAGAGATTACTCAGATAATGCCAGCTTTGCCAGTAAGCACACACAGTGCCACACACTGCAATACTATGTACATGTATTGACTTAGGCCCAGATGATATGCAACTCTTCTCTTTAATCAGGCTGTGTCTTTCTTTGTCAAAGATTATGATGTCTCCATTTCTGAACAGATAGCTCCCATGGCACTATTTTCTGCAATCCTACTGCAATCCTACTGTGCTTAAGGATATTCACTGTGTGGTTATCAAAAAAGGTACAATAATGAGGTGTTACTTTGGTCATGATAGTGTGTTTTCTGTATTGGAGCCACTGTGCTCAGGCGCTTGAGCAATGCTCTTTGTCTTAGTAAGAACACTTACATGGGTAGCAGCTGTTTATATGAGATGAGGCTTTTTATCTCCATGGGAAGATGAACTGTTGTTAATCAAGAAATGAAAAATTTTGTAGATCACTTAAGTGGGTTTCTGAAGTTCATTCTGTGTTTAAGTATTTTCTTGAATAGGGATACTGAAAACTGAGAATTATCTTAAGGCAAAAGTGATAAACCAACCTTGGAGTGAATATTCAAACATTCTGCAACATTGCTGATGAATAAGGGACTGGAAGAAAACTACTGTGTAATCAGAATTTTGTACCCAAATCATGACAAAATCAATTAAACTCTAATGGGTTAGACAGACTATAAAAATGCTACATGTTATGGATAAATATAAGAAAATTATTCAGGAATCCAAAATAGCAGTTGTTTCTATTTTGAATATTTCATGCCAATAAGTAAACCAGTTCCTTTCTCTGTTATCAAACCAAGAACATGTGGGGTAAATAATTTTCTGAAACTACTCATTGAAACCAGCTAATGCTGAGTACTCTCTTTTCAAGCAGGTTAAGTATTCTCGTGTGGACACTCACCCAAGACTTTGCATGAAGGTAAACTAGTTTCTTATAAAAAACCTCTTTCCTGTCCTCTTTCTGAATTGGCATTATTGTTCAGGATTAATTTTTTTTTTTCATAGATCTGATGAATAGGAAGTAGAAATGAAGGAAATGTGAAAGATTAAATTAAAATTAGGTTCTTTGGAAGTGCAGCAGGAATGATCTGACAAATGTCAGATCATGCCCAGATTTTTCTACTTAAGAAAAGCAGTGAAAATGTTTTAGGTCATACACTCAAACTCTGAAGTATACATTAAAATTAATGTGGAAAATTTTCCATATTAAATATATGATAATAAAAGTGATTGAAATGCTGCATTTACTGGAGCGCTGTTTATTATTGGTGAGGAAAAAATGCCATGTAAATTAATGTTGGCACATTATTATTTCATTGTAGACTACTTTTAAGTCAGCGGAACTACATGTTTCTGTAAAATTGAGCATGTGGGGATCTAATTTAAATCAAATGCTTGAAGATAGGATAGAGCAGAAAAGCTGTGTATTCATCTTCCTTTTCTGGAATGCAGTGATTATGTATACTTGAATCTGTACCCACAGACTGAAATAAAAAAATCAGTTTTCCTAACTGATTTCTCTGGTTTCAGTTTACAACCAAGCAAGGCTCTTGGGTTAAGTGTCCATTTGCTCATGGAGAATTTCCAGGTAAATATATATTTTTAGAATTACATAATATTAAATTGTGCATTGCTTTCTCCAGTAAGCAAGTTCTCTCTTCACTAATGTATTCACATAATTGTAGCCTGTAAATTATAGCAAAGAGATTCAACAGTTTGCTACTCCTGTATATAAACTTCCCAATAGGCCCAGTGTTGATCAGTATGAAAAAGTAATTATTTTCCCCTCTTGTCAGCTTGGAAGATGAGAACAGCTGCAGTTGCAGATCGAATACAAGTTTTCTTCACATCTCAAACCAAAGCACACTTCTCAGTGCTGGTGTGTAACAGGACACAGCTGGCCTCATGTGAATCTGTTGGGATGCGCCATTCAGTCTCTGTGGTTTGTATACATTATTTCTTCAAATTCTTTAATACTTTCACCAAATTTAACTGCATTTGTTTATTATTTCATTTATTGCCATGCAGCTTGAAAGTGTTAATAAGCACACACAAGTACTTATTGGAACAATTACTGGAACATTTTTAAAGCATGAAGTTCTAATTCTGATCTCACGCTGATGGAAGATATTAATAAGGAGGCTGAGGTCAAATGAGTCATGTCAAAGAAAGTAACTACTATTGAGCGGAACCTTAGTATTCTTTTAACATCATTTTTGTGGTACAGTATTTGTATTATGAATATAGCAAATGTAACTGTTAGCTTTTTGTATATGGTTCATCAATGTAGCTGACCTCACAGGTCTCACATCATTAAATTTAAGACTAGAGGCACAGTTCCAAAAAGGTCTTGAGCTACTCTAAATCTCATGGCTGCCAAAACAAACCCACTTCAGCTCACAAAAAAAGGAAAGTTTTCAGACAACTTTTTCAGACAGCTGACTGGGACTGCGCAACAACTTCTGACTGCACAACTGCTTCTTACTGCTTCTTAAAAAGGGGAGAGGAAAAAGATTGTGGGAGGGAATGCTTTTTCAGTCCTTGAACCTTTCAGTATGCAGCATGCACATAGCAGGGGTTGTTGACAAGAAGGCAACTTCTTAAGCAAGCAATTGACTTCTTAAACTCAAAGGGATGGACCCTGAAAGCAGAAATTATTTTCTAATGAATCCGTTTAGATTTTTCAGTACATCCCTTGTTCTGAGTGTAGCAGAGCATTTGTTCCAAGCCGAGTTTTCCAACTTAGGGTTTTGTTACACAAGTTGAAGCTGAGTTTAAGTGAAACATGATATCTCCTCCAAGAGACCCGAGAAAGGAAGGTATATGTCTATCAAATGCCACAGATTGACAGAATCACAGAATGTAAGGGATTGGAAGGGACCTCAAAAGATCGTCTAGTCCAATCCTCCTGCTGGAGCAGGAGCATCCAATTAGGTCACAAGGAAAATATCCAGGAGGGTTTTGAATGTCTCCAGAGAAGAAGACTCCACAACCTCTTTGGGCAGCCTCCTCCAGTGTTCTATTACCTTCACTGTGAAGATTTTGTGATAGTTAATGTGGAACCTCCTATGTTCCAGCTTGCACCCATTGCTTCTTGTCCTGTCGTTGGATGTCACTGAGAAGAGTAAGAGAAGCCTGTCCTTATGGAGCAAGATATCCAGAGAAATGCTGTATTACTGACAGAGATGGAGACCAATGTAGCAGCAGTTGACAAACGATATGTGAACACTTATCAGTGTAATTTCCCTTCAACTGGCAACTGGCTTATTTCAAATAAAATCTGTTGAATTTAGACTTTTGGTTTTAAATAATGTGTGAATTGCAAAGTGAGAAGGCTAATGGTACAACACTGATAAGGCAGAGCCAGGTGTTGTACAGTGTCTATCATGAAGGGCACCGGTACATTTAGGAATGCTTTTTTTCTTCCTTCTGGTGCAAGGCTGAGATTTCCTATGTGTACTGTGACACAGTGGGAGCCCACATAAGTTACACGCAGTTCCCGTCTCACCACTGTGAGCAATATACACAAAATTTTCATAATGACTTAGCTCTGTGTTCCCAGAAACTGATGTTCTTTCTAGTAATCCCAGTTTGGTTGTGCTTGAGTAAGAACACATTCACCTAATTTACCCGAAATTATTTTAGGAGTTTGCCACACTAAAGAAAACAGTGTGGGATGCAAAGCTATTAGTGGACTAACTAAAATTATTTTGAGCACAAACTATAAACAATCAAATGTTAAGTGTCAGAACAATCATTTAGGACAATTTTACCCTAAGGCTGAGCTTGTTCTTGGCATACAATATAATGGGAAACCCACAATAGCTGCAAAGAAGGGGTCATTCCTTCAACACACGTACACCAGGGAAAAGAAGTGAAGATGCTTGGTGCTAACATGATGTCAGCAGCCTTGGTGGGAGGATGTCCTCCCTCACAGTTCTTCACAAAGCACAGGGGCATTGGCCTTCTTTCTATCCTGTCCAAATCGTGCTTGACAAAACTACCCTAGCTGCTTATGGACATTGAGAACCAGGGATATCTCTGAAAATGTGTAACTTTCCATGATGAATGTGTACTTTTATATTTTTTACTTTATATATTAAATTTCCAACACAGTAAAATGTGCAGTGTTACTGGCAAAGGAAGAAAAGAGATGGAAAGACAATATTTTTTTATTGTTTCAGGATATGGAAAATAATAGTTTTTTTTTGTTTTCCTTCCTCCCTTCCTCCCTTCCTCCCTTCCTCCCTTCCTCCCTTCCTCCCTTCCTTCCTCCCTTCCTTCCTCCCTTCCTTCCTCCCTTCCTTCCTCCCTTCCTTCCTCCCTTCCTTCCTCCCTTCCTTCCTCCCTTCCTTCCTCCCTTCCTCCCTTCCTCCCTTCCTCCCTTCCTCCCTTCCTCCCATAAGGGAGATTCTGTGTCAATCACGATGTCACGGGAAGTGTGCGGGTCAACAATTTGCATTCAGGTATGTGTATTGTGTGTATTGATTTTGCCAATTACTGTGTACAAAATAAACAAGACATAAAAAAGAAAAAAAAGTAAAAGAAGGAAACCAGCAGGCACCCTCCCAGCTTCTTCCTCCTAGCCAGATCTGATTGCTGTGCAAATGGAGTTGGCAAAAAGCATTATTTATAGCTTGAAGTGCTGCCACCACCTCTTGTTGTGATGATATTAATTAACAGAGAAGTCGCTGTCAGCGATCCTGCTGCTTTGTAAGTGGCAGATAAATGGATATCAACAGGAAATTGTTAATCCTGTTCCTGTATGTTCCTTTGTTTCTAATAAAAGGTTAGTTAAGAGATCCAAGTAAATCATAGATGAATCTTTGAAACCTTGACATTAGCTGAAAAAGGTTAGACATATAGCTAATAGCACAGTAAGTACATTGTCTGCTAGAATTAGTGCTTCTGAAAGCACAGTGTAACCAAATTACTGTTTCACACACTAATTCTGTAGCTGAACTTCATTAAGACAACATTAATAGAAAATGAATATGAAGCTGATTGTTTTTCTCCTCTCCAGAGTTAAAAGTTCTCAACTTGGTGTATCTCGAGTCTCTTCAGTTCTTGAGTTGATGTATAAATTGTCTGCTGTGTAAATAAGACATCTGTCAGAATATAACTCTCCAAACATAAAAAAGCTGTTTGATTTTGACATTTAGAAACCTAAATTTAAAAATTAAAAATGATAGTGACTTCAGTCCATTGAGTGTTCAGTGTATGTATGTCCACTGAATGTACACTTCAGTACACTCCATGTACATTTCTTTAAAAAATAGAATAAAAATGTATTCAGTCGAGTATACTAATAAAGCAGTATTTTATTATTGATGTCAACAGAACTGTTTAGTAACAGTACTGCTGAAAGGGGAATAAGATTCTGTTCTTTCTTTTACAAGGGCTGGAGGACAGATGTAGATTATTCAGTTCCACTGCAGATCTGTGATATCAACTGTGGTAAGTACTTATGATGACAAAAGAAAAAACAGGTCTTGATTGAATGGAAGAGAGCATCTCAGGTGAAGGATGCTTTCATTGGGAAATGAAGATGGGATTCATCTGACTGAATGTGGATGTCTACACCTGAGCTAGTTATGCTCCATTTTCTTTATGGACAATGGACTCCTATCTAAACCAGCTTTTAATTAGCTGCTGTAAGGGCAACTTGTGTGGCTGTCTGTTTTCTCTTCTCCGTGGGTGAATTTACCAGCCTATGCCAAACTACTGCTACACCACACCTACGTTTGCCTTGCTCTTGGTAGATGAAGTAACTAGTTTAAAACAATCCTTGGCAAGTAGGCACGCACTTCTGTCATTGTAGTGATTGCAGCATAGCCCTACTGTTAATTCTCCACCTCTGCAAATGGAACAGCAGGAGTTTCCTCCACTGAAGAATTACTGTGAGGATAGTATTATCCTCATGTCCATGTCCTTATATGTCCATTATTATGGACATAAGCTGCAGCATAGGAAGTTCTGCACAAACATGCGCAAGAACTTCTTTACAGTGAGGTGACGGAGCACTGGAACAGGCTGCCCAGGGAGGTGGTGGAGTCTCCTTCTCTGGAGATGTTCAAGACCTGCCTGGACGCCAACCTGTGCGACCTACTGTAGGGAACCTGCTTTGGCAGGGGGGTTGGACTCGATGATCTCTGGAGGTCCCTTCCAACCCCTACAATTCTGTGATTCTGTGATTATGAGTTCAAGCGCACTCATATGCTCATGAAGTCAGAATATTCTGAAATCTCCAGCCCCTGATGGTATGGCACTGTAAAATGTAATGAATTTGAATTAAATAAGCCTCTAGGGTTTACGGTGAAGAACACAGGGTTAGGTTTAGCAGAACTGAAAAGTCTAAAAAGGAGTTGAGCTGAGAGAAAGCTCAATCTGAGCTCTTCAAGAAAAAAAAACCTCCCCAAACCCACAGAAACACTGCCCCTCCCTGTTCATTATAAACGTAGCAATTCCTGTGAAAGATTTGCTCTGTGTACAGTTAACTGTAGCTTCAGATTTGGAAGCCTGACACTTGACAATTGAATTTGCAATCCAACTGCAGTTCTCTGTGCAAGCACTGACATAATGCTTGTTCAGTTTTCTTCTGCACTTAAAAACTCACGACAAGTCCACTCAAGGTGAATCAGTTAATTTCTGAATGTTGTGATTTATTCAATCTGGATACATTCTTCTTATGCACAGTTTTCATTTAACAAATGCAAAGGATATGAAAACAATAACAATAGGTTCCAGGGATGACAGTCAGGGAACTCCTCTCTTCCTTCTAATAAGAGAGAATGGATCTATGTATTAAATGAAAATGGTGGAATACTGAAAACTGAGTAAAGAATTTTCTGGACATGTTCGATTAAAATGTGGAATTTGTTATCATAATTTCTGTTCTGATCGATAATTTCTGAGGATTCAGAATAAAAATAAATAAATAAAAAAGATAAGCTGTGCGTTTCCAGGACTTCCAAGCTTTAATATGTGAATGCTAGATTTGTTGCACGGAACATAAGTAGGATACGATTCATGGCTGCTGCCAAACTTCATATTTTGGGGTAATGCTGTCCACATTAGCAAGTGAATGATTCCACCTTTGCTGTCTTGCTAGGAGGAGATTGCTGAAACTTCCCTCGGAGATAGCTGGTGCAAACTGTTTCCCAGTGGTGGGACTCTGAACCGCATGGGTCCAACTCACTGATGAGATCCTTGTGCTCTTAACGTCTCGTCAGGAGTCATCAACTGCCTGTTTTGTCATGTGTTAGATTTTGAATGTAACAGCATTACTACTAAGAATTTTGAATTCTCAAGTGCTTATTTTCTGCAATTAAGACATCTTCTCAAGTATGAACTTTCCAAAATCAAGAGATAATGAAAGTTACTTAAAGATCTAGGGTGATAGTTCTTACACTGGGATGCTATTTGTCCTTTAACCTAACATGTTAAGAGAAAGAAAGGAGTATGAAATGTAGAATTTGTCCATAATTTGTGGCAATTAAATTCTACTAAGTGTCAAATGATTGAGAAACAATCTTATAAAAGTATAGTAAAAATGTCTACTGTATACATCTTTGTGAAATAGAAGCTTACATCATTACTACATTTTATTAAAGATTGCATGCAGTGTCAGTGTGCCCAAAAGAACAGTGATGTTACTGACATGCATTTTGTTTCTCAAAGGCAAAACCCAAAGGAAAAAGTTGCTTCCCTTCTCAGTTTTATTATTCCTTTGCCCTCTTCTCTGGATTGCATTAGAAGCAAAATATTCTAAAACATTATTTCACCTATTTAAGAAGAAATATATCTATTCCAAATGAAAAAATAACTGGAGTCATTTAATGTGAAAAAAAAAAGGTATGAACTGTAATGAAAACAAAATGACACTTTACATTTTAATTTGTTCCTTCAGGTTTTCGTGGACAGACATATGGTAATGAAAACCCTGCGAAGGCCATGACACACAGGTATTCAGCCATTCTCTTAAATACACTGTTAAAAAATTTTAAGAGTTGACAAAGTTGTTAATTCTCAAAACATCATTACTGTCTCTAAGGAACAGAAACAATATGAGTGATATTTTTATTTGCTGGCTGGGAATGTCTGGTTCCTATCTCTTCTCTTTCCTTGTCCCCACTGTTGGCACCTCTTACTCCATGGTTCTTGCTCTCAGCAGTCTGGCCTGAGAGGTAGCTGCTAGAGAGACAAAAAAACCAAAATGTGATACAACTGCCATTCAGCATTCAAGAGCCCTGGAACAATCAGATTTACTGAGCATGGCTTCCACATTACTAGCACCTGTCTTCTGACTTTCCCCTGGCATTTATAGGGGAATCACAATACCCTGTTCTCTCACTCTTTGGATGTGTCTGCTCAGCTGTTCCAGTCTTTCTTTTCTTTCCCACATCCATTCCAAAACACTTATTCCTAGGCTGTAAAGGAGTCAGTGATTAATGGAGTCAATGGATGTATGATTTGGTAAGATCCTGAGCTTCTCAAAAAGCTCTTTCTTTAAGGATGTCCTTTTGGAGGCAGCCTTGGAACAGTGGGAGCAACCTAGAACACAAGAAAGAATAGAGGTATTCTGAAAAGTCATTGTTCAAAGAAATTTAAAATATGCAGCCTTTCCAAGTTAGACAAGTCATGGTGAAAAGCTGCTGCCATCTTTGGGGTAGTCTTTGCTTTGCTAGATGATAACACTAAGAACAAAGTATCTCATTTTTGTGCATTTGTTCAAAATGGCTGTGTGATTTGGGCAGTCAAGGCCTCATGCTATAGATAAATCGTTATATTCATTGCTAATTCCGACTATATAAGAATGTAATGCACTCTTTCTCAGTGCAAAGAAATAAATATCTTTCTTTTTCTGTTTCTCCCCAAGAATGAAGAGTGTGCATTCCTTGCATTGAATTTAACAGCAGCACATCTTCAGCATCCTCAGAGGCTTATCAATATCCAGTTGTACTTTGGTATAACTTGCAAACTGGCATCTCACATCTTAATAAATTCTCCTAATTCTGTGGGATTTTTCTCACAGGTGAAGAATTTAGCAAGTTAGACCTACTTTAATGTCCAAAAGAAGCTGAATTATGATTCCTCATTTCACAGTATTTCAAAACAAAGCACATCTTAGGTCATGTAGTTAGAGAATCAGGTTCACGTTTTCCTTCTAAATTAATATTTTATACATAATGTGCTTTAAATGAATAATTTCACAGTACCTATAGAACAAGAATTTCAGAAGTTCTTATTTGCAACTTTCCTTTTTTAACCATAAGAAAAAGATTTTGGGAAATGAAGAAAGGAATTTTTCTCATCTTTTTACAATATCCTTCTTTGTTTTCTGATGCCATTCTGATGACCTCATTGTGACAGACCATATTCCTTACGTATATCTAATAACTGATTTCTGTGTTTACATTTGCCTTTCACTTGGAAATAACTCCTATTTATCAGAAGAGGTCTTCAGTTTGAAAGTTACTTAAAACTGTTATGTGAAAATCCAACCTAGAAGAAAACAGGTGGAAATAACCGAAGTATTTTTTTCCATTATATCAGTATTTATACATCACATTTGAGAATAATATTACACTTTGTACTGATTATCAAACATTTGGCCTTTGTTTCAAGGAACACTCCTGTCAAACATCCTCACTTCCTATTGTGTAAAAAGGAAATAAAGTCAATTAAAAGTTTATTAATAACAAATCCTGAAACCATGTAGAATTGCTCATGTGAGATCAAAAAGATGGGATGGGAGTGAGGGTGTGGAACAAGAAGTTGATCAATAAAAAATATTTTCCATCTGAATGTGGTTTTTGTTTTGTGATTTTCAGAGAAGGATTTACAGAGTATAAATATGGCACAAGAGTCATATCTGCTATATTGAAACAAGGTTTCTGATGGGCTCTCAAGAGGACAAACACTGCCTGGCTCCTTTGGTATTAAAACTCTACAGATGTGTAAAGATGTGTAAATCTACTAGATATATTCCTATTCTGTGCAGTGCTATGGCTCCATAAGCAGAGGTGGGAAGGCAGCCCTTGTGCAGCATTTATTTACTTACTTTAACTGTGAAATAGAAGCACCGATCTATTCAGATATCTGCTTTTCCTTTAATACCCTCCAGACCGCAGCCAGAAACAACCTGCTCAACTGAGGGAACATTAACATTACTCTTTAGGGGAAAGAGCACTTTTCCTTACTTTTCTGTAGGAAAGGCTGATTTTTACTGCTTTTTATTGCAGCTAAGTTCTTAAGATGAACTTTTTGCCTCTGTTCTTAGACTGAAAATGAATTCAGATTATTGTGGTGTGGTAGGATCTGAAAACCAAAGTGTAGCTAAGACAAAACCACCTCCAATGACACACTGCAGTGATAATTACTTCTCAAGTGTATTTTGTTCTGACTAGACACTGATGTTAGAGGTAGTCTAGACAGCTCAGCCTAAATGCTTACCATTAAGAAATTCTTGACTATAGCAATGTTTGCAAATAATTCCTAATTGTATTTCTGTACTTTGTCTCAGATCTGCCTGTTTGTATTTGTATAGCAAATCAATGAAAATTGATTCTGATTGATTCCTGAGCTGAACCTTAAGAATCCTGTTTATAATACACTACTTCAGGTAACCCTTGTCTCTTCAGATCACAGAATTCTTGCTCAATCTGAGACTAGTGCTTCCTGCTCCTTCAAATTGGAATGTCCTGGAAGAGAGTTCCATGTGGTGCTTTTTCTTGAGAAGTTAGAGTTCTGCATCACTCAGCTAACAGACACTAGTGTACTTGTGACAGTATAGACACAGATATATATATCTCTATATGTATTTTTTTCCATGAGACTTTTCAAACATTGATAGGGAAAGAATCAGATATAAAATACATTCTAGCACTAAACGTATTCATTTCACGCTGCTGAACACTGAAACATTTTCACTTTCTCACCCAGACTGTGCAATAGTTTTGCAGTATTGACCAATGCACAATACTGCAGTAGAAGTCAAATCCAAAAATCCCATGTGTGATTGCTTATAGACTTGTCTAATTATGTGGTGCTTTCATTTTTTTTAATTGAAGGAAATACCTTTCTTGCTGATAATTGACCCGGTTGGATCACCCTGTCTTGAGACAATTCACAGTTATTTGTTTTCCACTTCATATGGATATCTTTTATTTGCAGCTGTGGATACATCTCATTGATTACAAGCTACAGTTGAATTGCATGCATGAATTGCCACACCATAATGAGAAGCTGTGTGTTTTGCTAAGCCATAGTAACTGCCACAGCAGATCCAGTCCAATGCTTTGCAGGTTGTTTTCCTGACCCATCTCTTTTTTGGCCTGCTGGTAAACTGCTGAAAATTGCTTTAGAGAAATAAATGGGAAAGGATATAATCACTGCTCTGTAAAAGCTAGAAGACTTATTTATTCCTCTTGCCAGGGAAGTCCTTCAAAGCAAACATAAGACTTGTATTTAGTGTAGTACTGGAACACATCCTTCAGCAGTGGTCGGAGCAATTACTCCCTTCCTTCTTTTGATTTTCTACTGAAACTCCATTTTCTGTTGACATAAATACATTTCTTGTGAATTTTGAAATGGAAAGTATAGGCTTGCAGTCAGATAATCAACTCAAAAATCTTTACCAGACCTTTATAAGACCTCTATTACAATATAAAGATACCTCTCACTTCATAAGGGATAACTGCTGCCATTGAACCATCCTGATGCAATAGTTTCACAAAAATAAGGTTAAATATCCCACTGCTTTCATGGTTTTGTTGCTCTCTCTCTCTTTGTTTTTAAAACTGTTTTTTAATTTAAAAAAAAAAAAGTTTTATTACTTATATACATTATCTGTATTATCTATTTTACATGCAGCCCAAGACAATTCCTCTTCGCTCCATGCGTCCCAGGCAAGCCAAAAGGTTGGGCACTCATGTCCTAATATACACTGATACCATAAAACCAGAATGGTTTATCTACTGGAAACCAGATGATCATTTATTTATACCACATCTTTAAACAGATGGATTTTGTACAATATGTTTCTTGCCATTAATTACATCCTGACTAAGGAAACCTAGAACATTCATTAGTACATTCTCTTTTTAAGCTGTGTCTTGGATTGTGGTCACATTTCTTATTGCTGTCTGCACATTAGTGCAGTACAGTTTTGGACATTTCCATACTGTAGCTAATATACTAAAAAGTCTCTCACCTTTGAGACAATAACCCATAGCCATATATATTACTTAGCTTTTAATATACGCTAAAGTTGCTGAAATTCTGAGGTTTCCCAGCTTTGCCCTCACAGATTGTGCACTTTCTGAATCTGGGTTTGAGCTTAGACAATAGTTGTACCATATGAAGTAGCATAAGTAATCCTGTTCCTTAACAGGATTTATCTGGAGAAGAAATGATGAAAAGCAAAAGAAGGCCAGAAATATGATGACTAACTATAAGATGGGAAGAATGTGCTTTGAGCATGGGCAAAGGTAGAAAGTAACATTCAGCAGGAAGCCATGTATATGAAGCCTGCAGGTGGAAGCCCATAAATGTTGAAGAGTGAATTGGACATGTGAAAGCAAAGGCAGGGAGGAGGAGAGATGAGGTTGGAAAGATGTACCAAAGACTGAGTCAGGAGAGGAGAAGGGAAAGTTAAACCAGGTATGATTCACAGTTCTGGGTCAGAGCTACTTCTAACTAAGAAGCTCCAGGAAAAAAGGGAATGCAATGGGACATGAACCAGATGTGCCCTGCTCTGCATCCAGTACATCCAGCCCTACCTGGTTGCTTCTCACCTTTCCTGCTGCCTTATGCTGTCTTGCCTCTTCCTTCATGAAACACAAGATCATGGCGAACAGCAGGTGAACAACAGTCCCAGAACATCCATATCTGGAAGAATTCCCTTCAGTGCTTTTGGGGGCTTATCTGCAGGGCTTCAGAATTTGTCAGGTCCTCAGCAAGTCATCTTACACCTCAGCTCCTAAATGCAGGGCTTAATTTGATAGAGGTGGCATGGAAATAGTCTATTATGTTTTTCTTATTTAGTAATAACAGCTTGTACAATGGGGAGAGAAAGCAAGGGTGTAATTCAAAGTAGTAGAGAAACAATTACACAATAGCACAATAGCTATAGATTTTTATAGCCTTTTGGAAACCATTTTCCCCTTTACATGTTTTAGCATTTGATAGGGCTGTTTTTTTTCCTTTTTTCTTCTTTATTTTTCAGAAGCAGAATTTTCACCTTCTTTAGTTAGTTAATATCATGAATATCTTCTCTTGCAGCATTGGACATGTATGGTGGTCATGTTCCTCTCCAGTGGTTCTGCTCGCTGTTCACATTTTTTGCCAAATCCAGTCTCTTCCCACCTCTATGTTTCTATTCACTGATTATTTTTGTTTTTTGTTTTTGTTTTTTTTTTTTTCAATCTGCAAGACCCTGGCCAGCTGACTGCCTTTATATTGCACTATTTTGGTTCAGTCTGGAAGATACCAGAAGTCATAACAAACCTTAAATATTCTGCCAGTTGTACTGTGTGTCCTTTTATCTATCCAGTTTCTTATCTATGCCTTATCCAGATTAAACATGACAAACCTTACAACCATGAGTGTCTGAATCTCTTGGAGTATTTTTAGGTCATGCAAAGTTTTCTGTTGGTACTCTAAGATGGCTGCATACTACAGTACTAGCAGGAGAGAACAGTTTGACCACAGCACTGCTGATTCAAGATGAGGCATCCTTCTTTTAAGTTTGTATGAGTTAACAATGAGCAGAAAACTGTCTTAAGTATGTAATCTGATTCAATTCCTTTGACTAGTTTTCAGGCTGCTTGCTTCTGTGGTGCTTCAAGACCCTCATATATCTTTCTAGAGGCACATTTCAAGCTCTTGAAAGGTCTGTTACAAACTACCTTTCTTTCAATGTCTCACAGTGATCAGACTTAATCTTCTTTGTCTACTGCCAAGGTTCCATAAGCTTCTTTCCACAAGGAAGAGCTGCAGCATGGCTTCCCAGTGTCATGGTTTTGTGATTTTTTGGTTTTCTGCATTCCACATCATAACATCAAGCAGTGCATGGGTAATACTCCACTTCCATGGACTGACAACTTTCTGGATACCTGGCTTTCAGAAGAGAAGAACTACATATCCCAGGGGACCTTTCAAGTGTGAGGCAATGTGATAAGTCACGGAAGGAAGTCACAGGAT